ACACAGGGATTTCTGTGCATGGTTTAAGTTTACACATGAACATCAGTATTTTTGTAAGTAAAAAGAGGTGAACCTTTTAACAACTTTGTACATGACAAAAACAACCCTATGATGTGATTTTTAATATACTTTGCTGTCATTGAATTAATTTGTTCACTAAATTAATTTCATTTATCAATTTCCTTTGTTTCTTTGGTTATTGAAAACCCATTTTCTGTTTTGCATGGTAATGGAAGAATCCTTGCTGAAGTCCAAAATAGAATTACAATGTAGAATCAGACTGAGTATATTAAGCTGTTTAATATAAGAAAAATTCCACTTATCACTGCAACTCAGTGGTGCTTTTATAGTGATGTAGCTCAAAGGCATGCTTGAAATCAGAAACCTGCTGTTCCAGGGTGGTTGCTCACTTGTGTTGGAATAACTGTAATAGAGGAATGATAGAGGAGCATTAAGGTGTATTGTTATCCAGGGACTTGTAAGACTAAGCTTTGGAACACTCAACACATCTGTCTTTTAAATTTCCTAAGTCACGTGGTTTGCATTTTGGCTTTTTTAAGACTAAAACCAGAATGAAGCATGCGACTTCTCCAGTAGGTCAACTATGAAAACTTTTATCATGTTTAATCAATAAAAGAGCAAGCTAAATGTAGAACTTCTGACAGTTTCCCTCATTGCTTTGGAAAATACATTTAATTCCCTTTAAAAGATATTGTTTTACCCAGAGGTATTTCTGAATTGATTTTATGCATTTTTTCTTATTCTTTCTAGTAATGATTCAGCTGTCAGTCACGTCTTTGCAGCCAAGATTTGTCTATGAAATCTGTTTATTTTCTTCTTTAAGATAGGATCTTAGTTGATATGCAAAGATGTGAAGTATTGGCACTTCTTCCTTGACTTGGTTCTAGTAATGTTTCAGATTTCTTTTTTGTGTCTCTTCACTTGCAAATGTATGGTATTAGAAATCTGTGGCTAGGGAACGGATGTAATTTAGGATTGTGGGTGTGATGAATGAAGTGTAGAAACAGAATGTCAACACAGTCTTCTGTTTCAATCTTTGCCTGCCACTTGTTCTTAGAGAAACACTGTTGTTTGTTTTTTTTTTAAATGTAAGGTGTATCCAGTTGTTTTCTGATAAGTCCTTGCGGCAGACCAGAGATGGTCGTGAGCTGAAATCCTCTATCTGAACAATTCCAAACTTTAGAAAACTTAAACTAGAAATCGTGTTTGTGTAACAGGACAAATGAGGTCTCCTATCTTCACATTCCCGTATTCCAAAATTTTGTAAGTTACTGTTTTTTTTTTTCCATGTGGCTACCTACATCTGCTATGACTTCTTTTTTGGTTGTGTTCAAGTCTTTTCTGAGAGCTCTTCCCTGCTGTGCTAAATTTCTGTGTTGGCTTATCAAGCATTTACATGCACATGCAGGCATGGAAAAGCACAGATAAATAAAATTAGTATTTACTTTTTTTTTTTTTTTGTTATTAGATTTGGCTCCAGGTAAGCATTTTCTATAACTCTATCTTGAAGCAGGGACCATCTCCTCCTGAGTACTGTGTTAGCACCAAAAAGATGATATTTGGTACTAAAGTAAAAAGACTGCAGGGAAGTAGATCAACGTTCAGATATTTCATTCACCCAGTTCATCCTTTTGAAGATAATTGGTACATGTGCCTATGCCCAGGTGCTATCATCTGCCATTCCCAAGCTGAGGAGAATTCTTTTGTGTCTCTGCATTCAACACTCTTAGAGGGTGGACATTTCCACTTTTACTGATCTTATTGATAGATACCACTAATACGGGAAAATCTGTCCTCTTACTACATATGTGCTAGTGATAGATATATTACCTAATTCCAGCCTTTGGTTTTTACTTTTGTATTAACAATTTGTTTGTCTGGGGAAAAAGACCAAAATAGCTGTTGTGGAAAAAAATTATTCATAGGTAGCTCTTTTAGAGATGTTGTAAGAGTAATTGTAATTATTTAATATGGCATTTACACAGTATTTATCCTAAAATAAAACGAGCTTTTATTAAAGCTTCACAAAGAGAGTTGTTTTCAAGTAACTGTTAATCTCTCTGTAGCTATTTTGACCAGTTTTCTACCAAGGAGAAGCCCCATCTTTCTGCACTGGCACAGTGTGAATGTTGAAACAGGGGCTGCTAAGAGAGTACCTCATGCTGGATTCATGCTGCAAGACAAATGTTGGCCCTCTGAGGAGGAGGCCAGTATAACCTGGTGCTGAAAATGCTGTTTGGGTTTCACACAAACCCCGCTCCAGATGTAGCAAGCCATTGTTGGGAGGAAATAGAAAAGGGAAGAAACTACTTCATTTAAGAATTAATAATGCATTAGATGAACTTTTTACTTCAGAATTATGAAGATGGCTTGGTTTGGAAGTTAATACTTGTTTGATAATTGTATTTAGTTCTTGTAGGGAGTTGTATCTCCATGTTCATTTTCACAAATAAGCCAAGTATAGACCTACATACCAGATGATTATCAATCTCGAGGTTGGTACAATTGTCAGTAGCAGGGTCTCTGGCTAAAGCTATAGTTTTTTTGTAGGTAAAGCTGAGGCAGACTTGTATGGAGAACCTTGATAACACCTGATTGTCTCTTGGCTTGCTTCTCTCTAGTCTTATCAGCCCATCATCTGCATGCCTCCACTAACAGTGTATTTTCAACTCCCTTGAAAGAAAAAAGACCTATCCACCATCTTTATTCAAGTGCTTCTGTTTACTTGACCTAAAATATCACAAGTTAACTGTGGAAGAGTAAGCAGGTGAAGACAGAAAACAACAGGCAAAGAGTCTCCTGGAAACCTTAGTGTGTTTATCAGGTTAGCTAAAGCCATGACACTTGCAAGCAGCAAAGAAAGGTAGTACTGAGAACTTTGTTTTTTATGATCTGAGTGATATTGAATATCATTTTCAAAGTACAGACAATAAGTGAAGTAATCCTAAGTACTTGTGTGTACATTTAGAGTGAGAGAATGGAATGGGATTTTTAATAAAAAACACAAACAAAAACCAAAAAAGCACTCATTTTTCTTCTCAACCTTTTCTTTGCTAAGTTTTTGATCCATCCCTTCATTTACAGACAGGTTGTAGAGGTTAAATGCATATTCACATACCAGGATCATGAGATTTTAAAATTCCCCCTTTTCCCCCAAGCAGATAATGGTATTTTTTCTGTTAGATACCACTTTCAGTATTTTGGTGGGAGTGTTTGGACAGTGGCCTGTTAACAAGCAGTTGTGTATAAACAGGTATCGTCAGGGTCACGCACACCTCCCCCCTTGCCCCCGGTTTGCTTCCTTTATTAATTATCAGTGTTGTTTCCACTCTGCTTCCTCCCCTGCTAAAGGGAGCAGTTTATGGTTCAGACCCAAATCTTAGTACCAATCACATTGCTGCTGTTCACCTTCACATGTCAGCTAGTGTGTTTGTGTGCCAATAAAAAGATAAGGTTTTGTCCACAAGTGAGCTGCCTTTGGAGATAGTTCAGGGCTTCCTTTTAACTCCTGCAGCCTGGAAGAAGCAAAATCAAAATCACCTCTTCCTTGAAAGTAGATTTCATACATCTCCATCTTTGCGATAGCGTTAGAATCATTATGTAGCAGTTGGCTCTGATACGCTTGCACAGATGCAAATTGAGTCCGACAGGACTGATGTCTCATGGACTTTGCTGTCATTTGAAATGCTGGCATGAAGATGGTAGTGATGAAAGGCAGGAGCTGATGCCTTCAGCACTTTGCCTATGAACATCTCTTAAGTTTCTATTTTTTGATGGCTGTAGCTGATTCAAAAGGTAGTTTTACAAAAGAGAGTCATAATAGCCATGGATTTCTAACAGCTGCTTATGTCTTTTCTTCCTTGAGTAGGTTCTTTGAGCATTGCACTGTACTGTAAAATGGGCTCTTTTTACCACCCACAAATCTGTAAGATTTATCTTGTGGAATGCTAATTAGGTTTTTCCCTCTGCTCTTTTGTTTTGTTTTTTCTTCACTCCGTGGTGTGGTAATGAAAAGACAGTATCAAGCTTGCCAAAGTTTATATGTTGCAGACCCTTTGAAAAGAAAAGTTACATTTCAGTGTTGTTTTAGTGACGTGGGGCTATTTGGGGGGTATTGCTAGTATTTCGTGTGAGAATTTCTGTTACTGCTCAGGTGTGGTAAATTTGGACGAGAATAAGACACTGTTTTTTTAAGTCAGATACTTCAGATGTAGTGCTCCCAGTGTATCATATTCAATTACACATCATAGTAAATGAAGTGGATTGAATTGGAATCTCAGCCCTTTATTCAATGCTGGATTTCTGTTTTTCTGCTAGGCATAATTCAGCTGAAATCACAACGGGAGTTTTAACCTGTGAGAGTTGTTGAACTATGCAACATACTAGCATTTGATATATAGCTTTAAGCACACCTCACGAAGCAGATTTTGCCACGTTATTCTTACTAGATGTCAGGGCATCAGTTCCCAGTATTCTGCTTGCAAGTGGACTTTTTATTCTGGATATTGAATCCACTTTGATTCCCTTTTTGTACCGTGAGTATTCCAGTGATGTATTATACTTCATTAACAATGACTCTTCTTGTGATTCAGAAGGTGCTGTTGAATACAACAAAAAAAACCCAGGGTGCGACAGATGTTTGATTATAGTAGAAAAGGTGCATGAAAAAGTTGGAACAGTGCTAACCTATACTGTACCTTGAATCTTCTAGTATATGCCAGTAGCCTGAAATGAATCACGTTTCCTTTTCTTTCTCCCTTACCTTTTTGTCTTTTAAAATTGTTTTGCCTTAAATTGTGAATGCTTAGGGAAAAAAAAAAAAAAAAAACACAACCAGAAAATCTGTGCCCTATTCTTGCTAACTGCATATTTCTCTTTTTCTTACCTTTTCTACAGGCTCTGAAAATACTTCATCTGAAATTTCAGACCGGACAGACTCGCAGTGGCTTCTAAGCCAGTGAGAATAAGGCTGCCAAAGCATGCTGGTGCCAAGCTGTCGGATGATGCACGTTGTCACACCAATGGTGGTACTCCTGTGCTTGCTACTCTATGCTGATGCTGAAAGTAAGCTTATTGTTCATTTGTGCTTAGGTCTTGGACATGATGAACAGTTTTGTTTCAGCTGGTGGTTACTACGGGTCTTGGAATGAGTCTCCTGTTGAGTAATTCTTAAAACACCATGGGGTTCTCTCTAGAACACAGCTGGTATTTGAAAAGGATTATTTATGCACCTTTCTTATTATTTTTCTTCTTAGTGCTCCTTTTCTTAAGCAACTAATGGTTCCTGCTCAGATGGTGGAGGCCATTGCCACAAAATTACCTGGTCAAAACAAAGACCAACCTTGCTTACCAGACATTGGTCAAATCCCTTAAAGACATCTATCATTCTTTGAATATTTCTTTCTTAACTTTGGTTTAAAAAAAAATAAATCACACCACCCCGCAATTAATATCCAGTCCAATTAAAATTCCAGGCCCTTTGTAACTGCCACAACAGCTGTTATAATGTATTATTTCCGACAGCTGTCGCAGAGTACAGTATCCAAACAAATCAAGCAGAACTGACAACTTAGTGGCTGGCCTAAGTGTGTGACAATTCAGTGAGGAAAGGCACCTATGTTTACTTGTACTGAGGGGAAACTGTTGGATTTCGGTCAATTAGTTTACCTATTAATGGGAAGATAATATCTTCTTTTTAATTAGGAAATCATTAGGTCTGCCTTGTTTACATGTGTTCCTTACTCCCAGCTGTCCTGTGGCTTCTTGCAGAAGTAATGTGCAAATGAGAAAAGCCATTTGCTTTCCACCTGTTGACCTGCAGGTTTACTACGAGCTGACTGCTACGTTTGCTACGAGCCGCCTGTTAACATTCACTTTACTGGGAGATATTTTCCTACTGAAGCTTACTGACTCTGTTCAGATACATCACCAGTCAATAACTTTGTTCCAGCTCTGACTTTTGGAGATTTCTGTGTTCTTTCACACATCTGTGTAAAATAAAGGGGCAGTTGAATTAAGTAGGAACACACAAAAATAAAAACAGACTCAGTGAAGTTGGATAAATCAGTTCTTAGTAAATGCATATTAAAGAGTTCTTTATGACTCCACTTATCACCTGCATGCCAGGCATACTAAACTGCAACAATAGAAGAGATACAACATATTTCCACTTCCATGTGTAATAAGGCTTCCTTCTTTTCACTGTAACTCTATGGAAGTTAAGAAATGAAAAACAAAAAAGAAAAAAATCAAAAAAGAAAACATACATGTTTGTCGAGTACTGACAGCTGAGATTCTTTGGCCTCCTTCCAGGTAGATAATGACCAGCTGGGATGATTGTGTCTAAGGTGACGCCAAGGACATTTTAGCACTTTAGCCAGCAAATAATTAATTGGGAAGTGGGCCCGTACGTTGGATGTTTCTGCAGTTGTAGTATGCCACCTATTTTAAAAGTAAATTCTGTGCTTAACAAACACAGATTTTTAGAATCTGGTGTACCTTTTCTGCTTCAGATAATGAAATGTCCAATGTCCTGTGGGCAAGTAGTGAAAGATTTTTTTTTGTTTTGGTAACCCCAATTGGTTATCAATTTGCAAAAAGACAGTCAAACCCCAGAAACTCCTTTGTTAGTCCTTACTCATAAGAGAAAGTTTCTGTAATCATGTTACGTTAAACAGAAGGTTCCCACTTTCGTCATTCTTCTCTGTGGGGAAGGAGGATAGTTTTTTTGAAGATTAGCATGGAGTTACTTAAAAATTTGTTGGTGTCCCAGTACAGTTTTTAAGGGAGTTTTCAGATTCAATTTTCCAAAACTGCTGTATTCCACTTACGATTCTTTTTTATTTTAAATAACATGAAACAAAATGGAAGTCAGCTATTGGCCTCTGCTGGCTATGGCTAGGAGGACTTTGTCATGTTGGTAGGATCTATGGAGTGTCACATGCACATTAAAGGTTGTAAGATAAACAGATATTATCTTTTCGTGGCAGTTACTCTCAGTGAAACCAGCCTGGAGAGCAAGATGCAGCCTTAAAAAAAACTGAGAAAGAGTAAAAAATATTTATTAATACATTTTAATATTACTTGAGAGTAGATAAGTAGTGTTTTCAAAGACAGATTCTTAATAATCGTATTCTTTACAGGACTAGTATACTATCTTGACTGAAGAGCAAGCAAAACACTGGTTTATACCATAGTGTAGTTTTATGTGGTCATTAATAGTTTCATGTGGTTATGTTAATTGATAATATGTCAGGAGTGATGTTAATGTACGTTGGAAACACCCCACACTAAACACCACTGATCATTGTTTACAAATGTGCAGATCAACTGAGTTTTGTGCTGGAGGAACTCACGTAAACTAATCCTTTATGATTTTATATGTATGTCTATGTAATTAGTAGGTATGACTAGGCAGAATTACAAGAATAGAGGGTAGCCAAACAAAGATACATTAGGTTATCTTCTTGGAGGTATTTATAATGTTGCAATGTTATCTATGGTGATTACTTAGTATCCATTGCATCTTCTTGTTATTAGCTAATAGGAGAAAGAAAATGACAATTTAAAAATACCTATAAAAAATCAGGAAAATTAAAAAAAAAAAAAAAGATTAGAAATATTTAACTAAGAAAAAGAGAAATACTGCTAGAATTTTGGAACTAAAGTATAATGGAATAATAATTTAATAACAATTTTTTTCTTTAAAAGAAATAGAAATGCATCAAGACAAACTCATTTGTGCTATGTACTAGCAAAGATTTTAGGTCAGAGTCTCTGTTAAGACATTCCAGAATAAAGAATATGCAGACAACTATACTAAGAAGTGGTAGACGAGGTATCTCTGGTTTTAGGGTTTCTCTATTTTCTTGAGGAGAGAATTGAGCTGGACAACAGAACTGTCCAAGAACAGAAGTGCAGTTTCTCAGCCAATCATTTAAGAAAACTGTTGACTTCTACAGAATTTTCAAACATCTGTTTCTGTTGTTCTTTCCTGTTCTTTTTGTTAAGAGTTTTTGCCATGTGGCTAGTGGTACTGTGAAATGCAGGAAGTGAGCGAACTCTTACATGTACCAGGTGAACACGAAATGGTCACTTTAAATAGTCCAGCTTTTATCTAATCTATCTAGCTCTTGTTTTATGAGAAGAGGCTTCTCTTTTGATGTTACTTTTATTTTCTGCTAATAAAAGGTGTGACTGAAAAATTGAACGAATGCCCACAGTTTGTATAGATTAACATAATCCTTTTTTTTACAAGGTGAACTTTACAGTTGAAACTTATTTCTCAGCTTCATACATCCTTTCCTGCATTCCTTTACTTTCCAAGGAATTGTAGAAAGAAATGGATTTGAAAGGAGAGAGAAAAATCTAATGCAAGATTCTGTTCACTTGCACTGCCTTGGTTTAAACTTGAAGTACAAGGTTGTGGTACACAACACAAAACAAAAATGCTTGTGATAGCTAGATGTCAATGCAATGTATCGCGTATTCTAGTCAGTTTTTTTTTTTATTTTTGTTCCCTTTACATATAGTGCTGAAAACCATATAGTGTATTCCTCTCTTACCTTACAAGATTAATGCAAGAGATGATGATTGTAAAGTAATTATAATGCACGGGCTTTTAATTTGCATAAATATTTATATATACATATACAAATTGTATACATTATATGCTATGAATTAAATTGTGTGCCATGTATGTGTTTATGTGGCTCCACATAATATTACATTAATGCTGTGAGCTGTAAATGAATTTTTTTCTGTTTGAGCAATCTAAAAGAGGAGCTCTTTGAGAGTCACAGTAACATTCTACTCTTACACACCGTACTTTATTTGTTTGGAAGACATGCTGAATTTCCGCAGACATAGTTATTTTATGGGCTGGGTGAGAGAGAGCACAGGATCAGCGAGCCTTCTGTGTGCAGACATACAGAAAGGTGTTTCTTCTTCTTGCATGATTAGCTCTTCTCCTGGATTTCCTGAGGACTTGAAGGAAAGTTCCTGCTGTGCGAGGGTTGGTCTGCCCTCCACTGTTACAGATACTGCTCCTGTTTCTATACCTTTTTGTAAAAGAGTCCCAGACCCTACTGCTGTCCAGACTCTTCTTGAACTTCTTCAGAAACAGTTGGCAGGACTACATTATTTCCTGTTAGTGGGGAAAGGAGGCAGAAAAGGGGACAAAATTTTTGCCTTTTTTTTCCTCTCTGTCATGATGGAAAGGCTGTGCCTTCCTTTTTTTTTTTTTTTTTTCCCCGTGTTTTTTCTGTTGCTGGCACCAAGGTACTACAGAAGAGAAGATCTATCCTGACATTGCCACTGCATTGTATTCTTTCCAGAATAATTGCAAATGGATAAGGAACTCATACTCTTGCAATCTCACTGTGAAATCACTATGAGTGGGATCTAGGTAGCAAGCCTGCTTCATGATTTTGAAGAGGTTTCCAATGGTAGTTCTTAGTGCTTCCGTATACATACTACTCTCACAGCTGAGGGAGGGAATGAGATATCTTTGTTTCTCTTCATCATTGTGAAAGACCCCAAACTCTGAAATGTATTGGCATAAACTGATCAACGTTCCTGTGGTAACCTCTTAAAAGGTTACAGGATGGAAATGCCAAAAAACCTTTCCCTGGTGGACTGGATGAGTGCACTGTGCCCCTTATGTGTGCAATCAAGATTTGGTTCTTACTGTTAGTCCAGACACTAAGCTTATGCTTGACTGAGCAAAGTAAGCAAAATTGAAAGGTGGCAACATTACCTTTGCTCTTTTACCTATTACTGTTAGGAAAATGAAATGTTACTTGTAAGTATAAGAAGTGAAAAATCTTGAGGAATATGATTTTTTTCTTTGTTGCTTCTGTTTATGGTAATTGTAGCTTCTGTTCACACTGTGAGGGGGTGAATAGTGTTCCTCAGAATTTGCTGAGGAAAGAAAATGTTTAGCCTTCTTGTCTGTAGAAGGGCAGTCTGCTAATTCACACTGTTTATCATTGGCTGTCTTGTTCTCAATGGTGTAGATGGCAACTGTGTTAAAGCAATACTTCTCTACATCTGCTGAGAAATTG